TTACTTTCAGGGGGGAGGCGAGGAAAGCACACAATTCAATTTCGCATTTTTAGTATACTTACTAAAAATGCGAAATTGAATTGCTTCACTATACATGCCACAAAAATAGTAATAATAAGACAATAGGAATGAATTAGCGTTCGATTACTTCCAAAACCGATGTGGCTACATTTTAACACATACGCATTAAGCGACCGATGACTGCAGCCGTATTATAAACATACGCAATGCACAATGACATCCAATGTCATTACATTGCTTGGTGAGTTTGTCACCGTCGCGTATTACGGTAGAACAAAAGCAACAATGGTAATTGTGCAGTACGAAAAGTAATAAATAAAAGTTTACATAGGTAAATATCAAGTAAAGTATTCATCTGGATGTAAATTAGTTAATACAATGATAGTTAGTAAATAATCATCTTACCGATGAAATGTTACGCCTTTATTAGTTTAATTACACATCATTGATGAGTTTTACAACTGCTTATGCTGCAGTTCACCATTATAATATAAATTCACGTACGACGTTTCCCGCGCAACTAAATCACAAAATAGTGAATGATGTGCGTCAACACATCATAGTGGCGACAACGTCACGTGTCTATGCGACTTCTTTGTTTATAGGAAAAAGGTGATAAACGAGCACACAGTCCACCTGATGGTAAGTGGATGCTGCGACCCATAGACATCCACATCTGTCCTCGACTACGAATCAAAATGAAGATGCGTTGTAAGCCTTGAGGACTAAGATGGAATGCCCCTTTTCCAGTAAAAAGGGTCTCCGGTTCTCTACACTCACCATACGAAACACAGCAGCGTTAAGCTGCTATTTCACGCTGGTATTCTGTGAGAGCGTGGTCCTTCCCCGGTCGAGCCGACCCATTCGTGCTACAACTGTACAATTAGCATAACTGCAGCACGGCTCTACCACGTAAAAAACTTCTATTGTCTTATTATTACGATTTCTGTGATACACGCACACTACAGCATTTGTGTTTGTGTTCATTGCATTTACGCACACCATCAAATTGTACACGTGTCGATACACTGGTGCCGCTATCTACATGCGTAAGCAACGTAAGGCGAGGACTATATAGTCCTCGCCTTACGTTGCGCGACATTATTTATCGATAAACGAATCATCATAGTGCGCATAAGTTCCGCGTTAGTAAAAGTTATTTCTAGTAGTTTTTCTTTCATTACAGCCCTTCACAAGTCCACAGCTGAATACAGGCCTCCCCCAAGGAATGCCACAGAGCATTCCATCCTGAGCCATCATCGCATATCGCGACAAAACTTTCGATCCCATCCATACCATCTGGATGACTGGCGGTCCACCACTGTGTGATTTTTGAAGAAAAGGTTTTCTTCCTCGCACAACTTCTTTGTGGAATCGACTATTACCAGAGATTTTTCCGGACCGTAACGACTTAGGGACCTTCAAGAGAGCCTACTCGTTTTTAAAAAGGCCGGCAACTCATCTGCAATTCCCCTGGTGTTGCAGCTTTTCACGGGCGGCGGTAATCACTTACCATCAGGTGAGCCGTACGCTTGTTTGCCGCATCTCCTATAAAAAAAATATTTAGCGAGTCTTTATCCTCTTAAGACCATAGGTACACATATGTGCACCTTTAATTTATTCAAATTAAGACCAGTAGTGACATCTTTTGACAACTGCTAGTACTTGAATGAGTTACTATAGGTTATAGAGTTTCGATATATGTCCATAGACGACTTCGCGGAGTAAGTTTGTGGTGTTATTTTTTCATTTAAATTTCGTTTCGTTTCGTTGGAATTTTTTTCAAAACACGTCGACTAGCAATCTTTGAATTTCGATAAAAAAAAAGAAAATCTTCACTTTAGTTTGATATTTTTGTTCATTTGTGTTGCTGAATTATTGGACTAACGTGTGAAAGGTAAGTTTTATATTTATTTAACAAAATATTCGTGTAAAGGTTGTGTTGTTTTATTGGTACACATATGTGTACCTCAGGACTAAAGATTACTTTTGTATGATATGCGACCATTTTTCAGCTTCAACATGGATGACCGAGCGATTGAGGATTTTCTGAATGAAAGCGATCTGGATTTTTCTGGAGACGACGATGATGAAGAGTACTTGCCGCCAGATGTCTTAAGAGCACTTCAGGAGTCTCAAGATGCGGAAGTTAGAGGTGAAGGCCTAGAAGAAGAAGAAGCACGTGAAGAAGCGATGCAAGACGATGAAAATACTGAAGAAGTAAGTCAAAGTACATCACGATTATTGTGGCGAAAGAACATAATGCAGGTGACGTACTCATTTCACAGGGGAGCGCGGACATGAATGTTTTGTATTGTTTTTTTGAGTATTTAGGGCTAGACTTTTGGGGATTACTAGCAGAGCAGAGCAACCTATATTCAGCCCAAAAAAGAAACCTAAAATCAATAAATACAAATTCTATTGAAATGATCCACTTTGCTGGTGTACAACTGATGATGGGCACCCTCAAATATCCACAAGGAAAGCTCTACTGGACTAGAGATCTTTGTGTACCTATAGTTAGAGATACAATCAGTCGTGATCGTTTTTTTGAGCTCAGGAATTATCTGCACTTAGTCTACGTAAACCAACCAAATGCTAATGACAAGCTATGGAAAATCAGGCCACTGATAGACCCCATTTTGAAAAAATGCCATAGTTTGCCACGCTCTAAACATATGTCAATTGACGAGCAAATGATACCATTCTCTGGACGATGTGAATACCGTCAATACGTGCCTGCTAAGCCAAATCCACTAGGTCTGAAGAACTTTGTGCTGGCTGCCCGAGATGGGTTAGTATTGGATTTTGAAATCTATGTTGGCAAGGATACATTACCAAATGATGTAATGAAAAATCTAGGACTAGGAGCGGGTATCGTCGAAAAACTATGTCGCACAATTAACGATAGCTGCGTATTGTACATAGATAGATTTTTTACAAGTCTGAAGCTGGCAGAACTTTTGCTACAAAAAAGATAGTCCAATTTTTCTAACTGGAACTGCAATGTCAAATAGGATTGGACCAGTAGCGAAGAAACTGAAGAATGACAGGACGTTAGAAAGAGGACAATGGGATGAAAAAGTAAGAGACGATGAAAATGTGTGTGTCGTAAAATGGATGGACACAAAGGCCGTAACAATATTGTCTACATGTTCAGGGAGTGCTCCTGTAGATACTTGCAAACGGTGGTGCAAAAAAGAAAAGCGGAAGATAGACGTAGCTCGGCCGGAAGCAGTCAGAAATTACAACGCCTGCATGGGTGGAATAGATTTGTGCGACAGACTAATTGCTTACTATCGAAGTGCAATGCGAACAAGAAAGTGGACAGTAAGAACTTTTTGTCATTTTCTGGATTTGGTTGTTGTCAATTGCTGGATAATGTACACTCGCTGTTGCACTGAAGAAAATGTCCAACGCAAAGACAGGTTGGGCTTACTTCAATACAGACTGAATCTAGCCAAAACGATGATGAAGTACAGCGGCGGAAAGGTTGAACCCAACTTCTTGCTTCCTGGCTCCACATTTTGTCCCAGCGCTAGCCCTTCGACAAGATCCACCTCGACTGCTACCAGCGACGGACTACAGTGTACCGATGACCACCCACCTAGAAAAAAACATCGGCCGGTTGTACCCCAACCACAACATGAAATAAGGCTGGACAGTGTGGGTCATCTGCCGCGATTTGTGGACAGCAAGTCCGCCTCAAAATGCCGTCATCCGACATGCTCCTCACGCTGCCGCACCATGTGTGTGAAATGCAATATGTACCTATGTGTGCTCAAAAATAATTGTTTTGAGAGTTACCACACAAATAAAAACTTTGGCCCACGTTAAAACCTAAGGTACACATATGTGCACCATGTTTTTTTTAACTTGTGTGATATTTTTTTTTGGAAAACAATTATATGTCTTATTTTATACCCCTACAACTAAAATAAACCATAAAAATATTATAATCACATTTGGTTCAAGTTCAGGTCTTAAGAGGTTATTGTTGACGTCATTCTGTCCATCATGGTAATTTTTTTAGTACAAGTGAAGAAGATGCTGCTGCAGTAAGTCTCCCCGGTTTGCATACTTCATTTATTTTGGTGATATACGTCTTGTTTTTATTTCTAATGCATTACATGCATACTTTTAAATGTAGTCTTTACTAGGTAGTGTTCATTTAGTTGAATGGAGTATAATCTAATATGTATGTACAGATGACTATAATTGGTTTTCGTGTAGCCTGGGCAAAATTATATGACTATGTCGTTTTTTTTTTTTTTGTTAATAGGGTGACAAACGAGCACGCAGTCCACCTGATGGTAAGTAGGTGCTGTGGCCCGTAGACATTTACATTTATCTTCGATTAAGAATCAAAACGCAAATGCGTTGTCACTCTTGCGGACTACGATTGAATGCCTCGTTTTCAGTAAAAAAAAGCATCTCCGGTTCTTTACACTGACCATACGAAACGCAACAGTATTACGTTGCTATTTTACGATGGTATTCTGTGAAAGCGTGGTGCTTCCTCGGTCGTGCTACAACCATAATATAATATTAGTCGTATTACTAATATTACGAGTACTAGTAGTATTCCATGCCTTTAATTTTATATATAGTAGAGGAACAGCCAAAATTCTATCTTTTTAAATAGCCAGGGCTGAGTCACTCTGAATACATTCTACACTATTCACAGTGCAATTGAATTCAACATCCAACCACAGCGCCCCATATTGGGTGCTAGCATAGCTATGAACCTTCGTTTCAACTAAATCAATATCAATATATTGATTTAGTTGAGAATTTGACGTCGTATCACACAATTGTGATACGACGTCAATCAGTCCAGTCATAAAAGTTACACAATCACGATAAGACGATAGAATATAGTCATTAAATTAGTCAAGGCACATGAATGTTTGTAAACCAATATATCCAGCTTCTAACGGACCAGTACTTGCTGTTCCGCAGAAGATAATCATAAAATATCAAAGTACAGTTGTAGGGTTGTACAGCCGTCTCCTCTTCCTGGGGGCATCTTCCTTCAGGCTGTGATCCGGCGAGGGTTGTTTGTTCGTATTGTTTCTGGTGGACCGTCTGCTGTACCGTTGGCTCCTGGACTCGGCTGTTGAGATGCTTTGCGGTGTGGCGCGGCCACGGAGCCGGTAGATCGGTGATGTGCGTTCGCGAGGGTATGCTTTAGCTTCAGTGCGTTCAAAATCATCTGATGAATTCTCATCGTTGACGTTCGCAAAGTGACGCGTCAGCTCCGAGTACATCGGAGTGCGTTTAGGGAGCGTTGACTTTTCTGTAAAAACAATTTTTCACTTTTTATAAATGATAAAGTTGAAATCATTGACATGCTTTCAAACTAAAAATATATTTATTTTTTTATTCTTAATCGCATTCCTTATAACAAAAGAATACAAAGGACAGACTTGAGCATTTTCTACCAGTCAATCCATGGAGAGTCGAGAATTTGACGTAGACGTAGACGTTTGAATAAAACTTCACAAAATAATGTTGATAAATAACAAGGTAATATGTACAATGGACAATGAGAACCATTTTAACGAATGTTCGGTGATTTAGCTGAATATTCGGTAAAGTTGCCGAATATTCCGAATACAGAATATGAAACGAATATTCGGCCCATCTCTAGTAATTACTACGAGGGTGTTGTTAAACTCGTTTCTCAGAAAGGCGCAGGCGCTTCAACATCTCGATATAATAAAAATAACAACGGTCGCCAACCCAATTGCATAATCAGGTAATTATGGAAATATCCCTCCTTGTTTTCACCCTTAGAGCCTTTGACTAGAGAAGAAAGAAAGGACACGACATAAAGATCGTTAGTTGTAGGAATTTTAGGTACTGTTAGGAACTTTTGTATTTATTATAGTTTATTTAGTGTGTGATGACTGAGCCTAATTTATTGGTTAACTAACAAACAAAAATTCTTTAATTAGTATTTCTTGTTTAGCGATTCCCGGGAAATAATTGTAACATTAATATTAGATAGTTACATTATAAAAACAAAAAAAATCGAGTGCTTAAAAGTAATGAACCGGAAACATATGTATAATAATAAATTATATATATTTCAGAATCTTCTTGTAATTTACAAAAAAAATTTGGGAATTAGGGACAATTTGGCGCCAAAAATCCGTTATATTGATTTAAAAAACCTATCTAAGAACACACGGGTGTTTGAGACGAACCACACGAAAGAATCTTTTTCTAAATAAGCGCCACATTATCGATATTAAGTATAGTGCGCAGCACTACGTCAAGCCGCCATCTTTGTGCCAGACTCAGTTTAGGTATACACGTTTTTTTCGTACGTATGTCACGTCCTTTCTTTCATCTCTAGTCAATGCTTGGAGCTGTTATAGGCGGTAGCAGTGTAACACTTACTGTGTGAGTCGTATACTGCGTGTGCCTTTATATTCGACTATAGTATATTTGACGCGTTCAACATTGTATACACACTTCGTATTTGCTTTTTTTATAGGATAAGGGTGGCAAACTGGCAAACGAGCACACAGTCCACCTGGTAAGTCTAACTTTGATTACGAATCAAAATGCAGATGCATTATCATTAGTATTGCCGTTTCAACACATTTGGCGCTAGATTTAGTGCAATTCTATAGTCAACCAAAACTGAGAAATACATTTTGACAGCTGTCAGACTTATTGCACCAAGTATGCCAAACAAAAAATGGGAACGTACAATATTTGATTCTTAAAAAAATCGATATCGATTATTTAGAGTTGGTAAACAGTTTGCTTTGAATAATACCAAAATAAATTAATAACGGATAATTTAAAACACAAGATTTATCAGTTTCTTCGTATTTGTTGTCACTGCTTATTTCTAGAGGCACAGTTATAAAAATTTAAGATTGAAACTGGATTAAAAATAATTCAATCGCTTTTAGTACTAGTTGAGCTGTCGTTTAGATTAATTCTTATTTGATTTTCAATAATGTAGTCAAAATTAATATCTCTTTCAAAGTCATCCATAAATCAATTTTTTTGTTTTTTCTGCCAATTTTGCCCAATCATACTTTGTGACATGGGCACATGCTTCAACGAATATAGAAGAAACAGTCCAAAAAGTTAAAGCCGAGTCGCAAAATAAGAGGACAAACACAAAATCACAAAATTACGCACAGTAAGCTCCCGAAATGGCTGCGGGAGATTGAAATTACGTAGTGGGTTTTTCGGCGCGGCGTTATTATGAGTGTTTTTGCCTACACAAATTTATGTTGACAAAGTAAAAAAAATAAACTTGTTTTTTCATGGTTCGTCTAATTTAAGGAATTTTAAAAATAAAAATTTAACTAAACAAATAATACATTAAAAAAATTAATGATTAGATTATTTGAATATTTTTACCGATAAAGTGAATATTTTTGCCGATTATTCGCATAACAATAAAATTTAATCATCCAAACACTACGGTATAGTACATAGCGACATATCATTGAAACGACGTCAAGTAAAAAAGTTGATACTGATTATTTTTTAAATATTTTGCTTTGTTTGAAAGATTCGAATTCAAATTATTGATAAAAAAAACTATACACGTTGTAATAAAATATAGATAACCTCATAATTCTTCGGATTTACGAAAAAGGTAATTTTAAATCGTGTGAGAACGCTTGTACAAAGTTATTGCGGAATTATAATGTGAAACGTCAACAGGTATTTCTTAGTTTTGGTTGACTATAGGGTCTACAGCGCTTTTTTAAAATATCTACGTAATAAAGATATCTAGTCTACTAGATAGCGCTTTTTATATTATCTATGCGTCTATAGACCTTAGAATTGCACAAGATCTAGCGGCAAATGTGCTGAAACGGCAACACTGGTTATCACACGTGAGGACTACGATGAAATGCGTCGTTGTTTTCAGTAAAATAGTATATCCGGTTCACTACAATCGCCATACGAAATGCAGCAGCATTGGGCGGCTATTTATTCTGTGAGAGCGTGGTTATTCCCCGCTCGAGCCACCCATTATCTACAACTATTCTCATAAAGCCGGGTTAATGTCAGAAAAATGTAAATCCGGCTTAATATGGCTGCAGCATGGCTTTACCACGAAAAAATGTTTGTTTTTCATACATTTACATACATACATAAACACTTACGCCTGTCACACAGAGGTGTAGGCAGAGACTACAGACTTCCATTTAGCACGATACTGACACACCTCTCGCGCCTCCTCCACATCCATATATCTACGCATACATGCTCGTCGGTTAAGGGTACTCTTAATTTGGCCCGTTTTTAATATATCGCCAATTTGGTCGATAAACTATCATCTAGGATATCCCTTTCCGACTCTTGCATTCACTTCTGCAAGATAAATTTGCTTTGTCAGTCTTTCCTCGTTCATTCTTTCCACACGACCAAACCACGGAAGCATTCCTTTCTTAACCGTGGTCACAGCATCATCATGCAAACCACACTCTTCTTTTATCGCACAGTTTGTTGTTGTGATTATAATTACCACGGTTGTTCTTCACATTATTTACATTTATTTTAATACAAATTTCTTAAAAATTACAAACTGGCAAAACCCTAATGGGAGAGTTCACAATCAGCAATAGAGTAGGATTAGTATAACTGACCTGGGCTCTTTGGAGTGGAAGCATTGGGCCTTGCCTGGCGGTGTGAGCGTGTGGGGCAGGGCGTGGGCATGGGGCTGGGCGTGGTCGTGGATCTGGCGCTGAGCCGGCGCGTGCGGTGGCGGCGAGCCAACGCGCTGCGAACGCGCGGTAGCACCAGCATGGAGTTTTGACTCTGCGGCTTGCGCGACTTCAACTCGCCTGCGGGATATTAAAAAACATTGAACGTTAAAGTGTACTTTCAACCGACCTCAAAAAGAATGAGGTTCTCAATTCGACTGTATATTTTTTGTGTGTAACACAGAACTTTTTTCTAGGTGAACCTGTTTTAATGATTATTTTTTATTTGAAAACTGGTACTTATAAACTATATAAACTTGATCAAGATGTGACGAGAGATAGATACGCATTATTAAGTATAACTCAAAAAATGCCTTGAATTGATGACAATTTCATTTTATTTATATTGAAGTTGATTTTACAAAATTTTAATTTTACCACATGTGCTTGCATATTAGAAACAATTTTGTGCCAAACCCAAAAAGTTCAAATACCTAATAAAATGAATAAAAAATTTAAATACACCCACATTAAAAACAAAAGCTATTGATCCTCAAACGGCTGAATGGTTTTTTTTTTAATCATAGCTAAGTACACTCTCGATCAAGTTTGAAAGGCGTGAAACAAAAAAAATCGAAATCAGTTCATCCATTTGGGAGCTACATTGCCCACACTACACAAATACAGATACACATGTTCAACATATAACCCCCACCCCTTTTTTTTCGTCAGGGGTTAAAAAGAAAATGAACGCTAAAACATTAGTTACCAACTATATTGAAATACATTTCAATACGAGAATTAAACTTAACACACCTATACTGGATGACCTTTTTTACCGTCTGGAAAAAAATACGGTGTAACATGTGAGCGGAGTAGAAGCCTATGCCACTCATATTTTACAAAAAATAAAAACAAAAAATTTTAAATTAAATAAATTAATTAAAATCTATCGAAATTCAAATCACATCCACTCTAGCCTGTGACCTTGCGAAGTGACAGGGTCAAAGATGCCCACTAAATTTATTGTTTTGTAGCCGTTCGTAAAGTAGGGTGGATATGATTTGAATTTCGATAGATTTTTAATTACTTAATTTATTTAATCTCAAATTTTTTGTATAATATCAGTGCCATAGATTAAATAGTGATCCGTCCCAGCTTCGCACAGATGATTTTTGGATCTCGACAACATATGCATGTATTATATATATAAGCCTCTCTTCTTGAATCACTATGTCTATTGATGAAACCCGCATCAAAATCCACTGCATATAATATTATAGTTTAAAACATCTAAGCGTCCACACGGCGGGAAGTGGCTTTGTTTCATACCATGTAGAGAGAGATCTGGCCTAGCTTCGCACGGGTCATTTCTGGATCTCGACATCAGGTAAAATTGTGAATCTAAACCATCCAGGGTCCACCCGCTCAATAAAAAAAATTATTAAAGTCGGTCAGGCTGTTTTTGAGTTAGCGAGACTATCGAACAGCAATTGAGTTTTATATTTAGAGATAGCTTTTTTTAATAGTTATTCTAGTTGACAAACGAGCACATAGTACACGTGATGGTAAACGGATGCTGTGACCCATAGACGTCTACATTTATACTCGATTAAGAATCAAAACGCACATGCGTTATCACCCCTGAGGGCTAAGATGGAATGCCTCGTTTCCAGATCTCCCATACGAAACACAGCAGTATCAAGCTGCTATTTTACGCTGGTATGTGGGAGCGTGGTCCTACTCCGGTTGAGCCGACCCATTCATGCAACAACCATAATATAACTGCAGCGTGGCTTTAACGCTTGTACTGATTGTATGAAAATTCCGATTAGTGACGGTATGAGAGGAGCCACGTAAGAGACCGCGTGAGGGAAACCACGGCGTAAGTGAATCGACTATCCTATATCTTATCGTGGGTATCGTAGAGGTAACATAGTACAAAATTAAAAAAAATACTGCGATTTTGTAACCCGGATGGTAAGTAAGGTAAATATGGCAAATATCCCCCTATGTGCTATGTGTGGTAGGCCTATGTTCGGCAGTGGATTTTTGATAAGTTATAATGAAGGAGTGATAAATGAATATATAAAATATCTGTACACTATGTTGTAGTGACGTGTGCGTTGTGTTGACGTGTGCGTTGTGTTGACGTGGGCGTTGTGGTGACGTGTGTTGTGGTGACGTGGGTGTTCTGGTGACGTGTGCGTTGTGGTGACGTGGGTTGTGGTGACATGTGCGTTGTGGTGACGTGTGTTGTGGTGACGTGTGTTGTGGTGACGTGTGTTGTGGCGACGTGTGTTGTGGTGACGTGTGTTGTAGTGACGTGTGTTGTGGTGACGTGTGTGTGTTGTGGTGACGTGTGCGTGTTGTGGCGACGTGTGCGTGTTGTGGCGACGTGTGCGTGTTGTGACGGCGTGTGCATGTTGTGGCGGCATATGCGTGTTGTGGCACCGTATGTTGTGGCGGCGTGTGTGTTATTGCGGCGTATGTGGTGCAGTGACGTGTGTAGTGACTTGTGTAATGACGTGTGTAATGACGTGTGCAGTGACGTGTAGTGACGGTACACAGTGTCGCGGCACGTACCGGCAGCGGCGTCGGCGCGTAGGCGCGTTGCGTCGCGCGGGAGCGCGAAGTGCTGCAGCGCGGGCAGGATGTAGCGCAGGTAGCGGTTGCGCAGCGAGTGCCACGACCGCACTGCAACACGTGCACACAACACCGTTTCAACACGTTCACGTGAGCAATCACATCTATGAATAGTTATGATGCAGCGCACCGTTTTATTATATAAAATATCTTCCATACGTAGTAGCGTTGCAGCTGTATTATGGTTTATGTTACGCTGAGCCATGGCGATTTACCGTCTAGGGCTCCATCACCACTTACCACCAGGTGGGATTGTGGTCAAGCACTGGCTTATGAGAAAAAGAAAAGAAGAATAACATCCAGACAGTCGCCGAAGAGAAAGGTGCGAGACATTTCACAATACAATCACAAAACCGCATACCAAGGTTGGCGATTACAGTTAAATCAGTCTACATTGACGGCTCCGTGGCGTAGTGCCTTAGCAATGAGTTGGAGCGCTGCGCTGACGGCTTAGAATACCGCACGGAACAAGTTATTGTGTGGCCTACAAATAATTGTTCTGGGTCTGGAAGTTTGTCGTTGTGAAATGTATGTTAACTGCCCCCACGACACAGAAGAAAATCTTAGTGTGGGGGTAACGTATATAACTTATTGTCATAAAAAACAACGGAGAGGTTTAAGCAGTGGACAATGGAGAAGCTTCCACAGAAGGCAAAAAGCCGGGCTTGCCTTATCATACAGCTCAATTAACAATATCAACTGATAAAATAACTCGACCTCGTAGCCTTAGCGATACTGCTGTCTTATATGGTGTTGAATTGAGCGATTATCTCTCTTGCACGCGTGGGCTCGAGAAGACGATCGCTCCCTTTTTATAATGAAATATAACTACGCACTACTACTAGCAATAAGTATAGAACGAAAAAGCCAGGCTTTTAGTATGAAGTTAGTCATTCGAGCGGGCGCGCGCGATACGTTTGCAAGTTCACTTCACATTTCAATGTTTACTCTGTGTGTTTAACTTGAGTGAATTAATATTGCGAGTTGAAAAATTATGCTTTTTTTTATACGATTTTTAATGAAAATGTAGGGTACTAGTGTCCTTGTGATGAGTTGAAGTGTGTTAAAGTGCTAATCTGCAAGGAAAAGGTAAAATATTTAAACTTTTTAATAAGTTGTACTGTTGTTGCAGGATATTCTTTTCCAACGACAAAATAGCTTGGAATACTACTGGATATGATTATTTAAATGACTTATCTGGAGCTTTTAAAAGGCATATGAATTCTCAAAAACACATGAATCCGGTAATTTTGTTTAATAATTTTGGAAAAAATCGGATTGAAACATCTTTGTCGCGCCAGTTATCCGAGGAAATCGATTTAGAATATAAATAATTTGTTCACATCAAGATTGGTGTATTTTTATAAAACTGCTAAAAACAACAAAACCACATCTTGGGCTTACCCTAGTTTGGAACCCATAGCTTCGCCACTGGCAGTGGTCTATTGAAGGTCGGAATAAAGAAGCGATGTAAAGGTATAGTGTGAGGTGCAGTTTAGTATAGTTGTTAGAGCGGCTTGTAGTGTAGAAGAAATAGAAATAAGAACATTAATTTTTGTGTAAAACCCTATTAAAGAACATGCTCCACACTCTTACATATGACACTGAAGAGCTAATTAAATAGCACGTAAGACCAGTGACGAAGCCTCCATAGAAGCCGAAAAGCCGGGCTTGCCTTATCAAACTGAATCAATTAATAATATCAATCAATAATATCAACTAATAAAATAACTCGTAAACTGTTTCAAATTATTTCAAATTTCCCGCGCACTCCATTGTTCGACACAGGTCGACCGATGACTTCGTATTGCCTTAGCGATACTGCTGCTGTCATAAAAAATAAGTTTTAATAGAGCGATTAGTTGTCTTTCTCGCTCGCGTGGGCTGTTTACGGGGCTTTCGGGAAGACGATCGCTCTCTTTCTAACCTATGGCAAAATATTCTATAATGAAATATAACTACTATTGTATATATAGCAATTAGTATAGAGAGTTAAAGCCAGGCTTTAGGAATGAAGTTGTCGAGAGCGGAGGCGCGCGGGCAATACCTTTTCAAGTTCATTTCACATTTCAATGTTTATTTAATCTGTGTACTCTGCTTTTTTAAAGGTTTTTAGTGAAAATGGAGGATAATAATATTCCTTGTGATGAGTTGAAGTATGTTAAAGTGCTAATCGGAGAGAAAAAGGTAAAATCTTTAAACTTTGTTGAGATAATACATAAGGTCAAGTGTATTTCAGACTTATGAATTATCGCAATTAAAAACAGTTCTTGGTACAATTAAAACGTTCACCAACATTTTACGTGGACGTAATTAAAACTTTCCTTAAGAAAGAGAGACGATTCCATTTAGAACGTAAATAATTTTTTTTGTACATACTTCGTACTTTGTTCATGTTTTACTTTTGTTCATGTATGTATTGTATGTAAATATCTTTTTCTTTCGTTCAAACAAATCCAAACGGCTTTCTTCAAAGCCACCGTGGCTATGCAATTACTGATATGTAATACAATCTATCTAGCAGTAGTATGCCTTCTGTGTGCTTTGTTAAACACGTCCTTGACAGCACTGAATATGAAACTGAAGAGTGGAGGCAGATCAAGATTGGTGTATTTTATAAAACTGCTAAAAACAATAATTTATATTTTTATCAATTTATCTCACTCACTCATGCACGCACGCAAACACACGCACGCACGCGCACTCACACACCCACACACACACGCACGCACGTACGCACGTGCACTCACTTTTTTCGAAGCTCCCTTTCTATAGGCTTCCTGAGAAATTGTGCAATAGGATATTTTACAACATGTAATATAAAATCTAAAAATATATATTCATGATAGATTTTATTAAAAGTAAAGAAGAAATATTGATTTCTGTTTATAAAATTGCATTATAAATTTTTAAAATCTGCAAAAAGCTGTCGGCCATATTAGACATGTCGTGACGTCACTGATCCAGTCTAAGCATATTAGTGTTCTGTGTCACTGATTAAGAGAAATAGCTAACGAGCTGTGTTATTCCGAAATGTTTGTTATAACTACGATTATTGACTTTTATTTCGAATTTTATTGAAAAGGTATCATGGACTAAAATACTTAAAAAAATACATATAAATTTGTACTCAACTTTAAGAGAAAAACTCAAAATTAACATCGAACTAACCCTGTAGTTACAACTTAAACAAATTTTTAAACTTAGTCTACAGGCTTAGGTAGAAAATATAATTTGTTACACGACCGTTTACAGTATCCGTTCTTAGTTTGAAGCGTTACAACACGTGTATCTGATCTTTACCGACATGTTTTTCAACAACTCTACCTAACAACCATTTTGCAGGGGGTAAGTTATGATCTTTAATTATAACAACATCATTAATCTCTGGCTCAGTTTTTTTCATTGTCCATTTATAGCGTTGATTTAAAGTTACTAAATATTCCTTAGACCACTTTTTCCAAAAATCGTTAACCATTTTTTGAGTATATTTCCATCTCTGAAGACCAGTTACATTTTTACTAGTACAATATTCATCAGGTATTACAATAAGTGGCTCCCCAACTAAAAAATGACCAGGCGTTAATGGTATGGGATCATCAGGATTATCACTGAGATAAGAAGTGGAGAAGTTTGAGTTAAGTCAGTCGAAAGCTCTTCATATGTGGGCGTAGAATCTCCTATCACTCACTTTTAAATGCGTTTTAGTGGATCGAACTCCGGCCTCCCACAAACCGCCGAAGTTGGGGGTATGTGGAGGTATTAAATTCCATGTCGTACCTTCGCTAGCAAATAAGTGGCAAATTTCGTCTGGCAGCTGCGATACAGCGCGATTAAAACTCTCTCTCAACTCTTTATCAGCGCCAACAAAATTAGTACCATTGTCGCTGAACAAGGTCTTACAATGTCCTCTCCTTGAAACAAATTTGCGAAAGGCTGCGATAAAGGCATTAGCAGTAATATCGGTCACTGCTTCTAAATGTACCGCCTTTGAAAATATGCAGACAAAAACGCAGATATAGCCTTTGTAAGACTTTGCTCCTCGTCCAGGTGAAAAACTAATATTAATATGACCCGTAAAATCAACTCCTGAGATCCTGAAGGGTCTCGTTGGTTTTAAACGATCCTCAGGAATTTGGCCCATCAGCTGATAGTTGTTTTGTTTCGAATACCTTATGCATTTCGCACAGGTTCTATACTGCTTCTTCACCAGGTCTCACGCTCGAATGATCCAGTATTTTGATCTTAAGAAATTAAGCATCAACTGTGGCCCGCCATGGAGCGTTGTAAGGTGAGCATCCGCAACTATGAGCTTTGTAAGATGACTCTCACTAGGCATAATTACTGGATGACGAGTGTCATAGTCCACCTTGGCTTCATTAATGCGTCCACCTACTCGTAACACTCCATTCTCACCGAGAACCGGGTTCACAGTAAGTAAACGGCTCCTCTTTGGGACCCAATTGTGGGCTTTTAAGTGCTTGATCTCTTCTTCAAAATATAAACTCTGTGTCTCCTTTATACAATGTCTCATCACCGTGCTCATTTCTTTGTTTCTTTGGTAATTTTAAATTCAAAAATCTTTTGCAGTAGGACATCACTCGTAACAACATTGGTAATGAAGAAAATCTCGTCCAAAGGAAAGCCTCTTTTGGTTGTATCATAGTCACCAAAGACTTGACAGGCTTTTCTTCTTCTGCAGTTACAAATTCTTGACAGCCTTAGCTCTCATACGTTTTGTTGTCCCCTAGCCATGTGGGTCCGTGCCACCACAACTCGTGATCAAGCAACTCTTCACTGCTTATGCCTCGGCATGCACAATCCGCCGGATTATGCTTTGTGTTTACATGTCTCCATCGACTTCTACTATCCAGTATCGTAAGTATCTCTGATACTCTGTTGCTCACAAAAGTCACCCAACGATGAGGTTCTCCTGCAATCCATGCCAGCACCACGGTGCTATCCGACCAGGCGTATAATTTTTCCTTTGGTATTTTCATAACTTGGGAAACTTCATGTATCAATTTGCGGCAAGAAGTGCAGCACACAAC